CCCCTGCATCCTCACGCAGCATCCCCCCCGCCGCATCCCCTGCATCCTCACGCAGCATCCCTCCCGCCGCATCCCATGACGCATTCCTCGAGTGCACAGCTTCCCCGGGGCGACGACGACGATGACGAGCGAGCGTTAATTAGTTATCTTCATTGCCACGGGGGAGGAGGAGGAGGGGGAGGAGCGAGGGGAGAGGGGGAGGAGCAGGTGATCGATGGAGCAGCAGGTGTTCGTTACTGGATGCTTACGCTCAGAGCGCGTGCGTTCACGCGCTCGTGCAATCTCAACCTCCCTCCCCCTGGATGTGGGAAATCTCTCCCTCCCCCTGGATGTGGGAAATCTCTCCCTCCCCCTGGATGTGGGAAATCTCTCCCTCCCCCCTGATGCTGGAACAAAATCTCTCGCCTCCCGCCTGATGTGGCGCAAATCTCTCCTCCCCGTCTGGATTTGGAAAGTCTCTCCTCCCCCTGGATGTGGGAAATCTCTCCCTCCCCCTGGATTGTGGGAAATCCTACCCATCCCCCTGGAATGTGGGAAATCTCCCTCCCCCTGGATGTGGGAAATCTCTCCCTCCCCCTGGATGTGGGAAATCTCTCCCTCCCCCTGGATGTGGGAAATCTCTCCCTCCCCCTGGATGTGGGAAATTTCTCCCTCCCCCTGGATGTGGGAAATCTCTCCCTCCCCCTGGATGCGCCCTCTGACTGCATGACCTCTGACCTCATGACCTCTGACTGCATGACCTCTGACCCCCACCACTTGTCCGCAGTACCTCTAAATCTTGTGACATTTGCCCCCGTGACCTCTGACTGCATGACCTCTGACCCCCACCACTTGTCCGCAGTACCTCTAAATCTTGTGACATTTGACCCCGTGACCTCTGACTGCATGACCTCTGACCTCGCGACCTCGTCTGTGGCAGGTACCTGATCCTGGAGCACGTGTCTGGAGGAGAACTGTTCGACTACCTGGTGAAGAAGGGACGGCTGACTCCGAAGGAAGCCAGGAAGTTCTTCCGTCAGATCATCTCCGCCATCGACTTCTGCCACAAACACAACATCTGGTAGGAGGAGGGGGAGAGGGGGGAGGGAGAGGGGGGGGGAGGGGGAGGGAGAGGAGGGAGTGTGAGAGAGGAGTAAAGAGAGCGAGAGGAAGAGAGAGCGAGAGAGAGAGAGAGTTAGACAGAGAATATATATATATATATTTTATATATATATGTGCATGTGTGTAAATAATGTGTGTGTGTACATGCGTGTGTGCATGTGTGTGTGGTGTGTGTGTGTGTGTGTGTGTTGCGTGCGTGCGTGCGTGCGTGCGTGCGTGCGTGCGTTTGTGTGTGTATATAATATATGCTGCTGCTATTGCTGCCGCTGCTATTGCTGCCGCTGCTGCTGCTGCTGCTGCTATTGCTGCCGCTGCTATTGCTGCCGCTGCTGCTGCTGCTGCTGCTGCTGCTGCTGCTATTGCTGCCGCTGCTGCTGCTGCTGCTGCTATTGCTGCCGCTGCTATTGCTGCCGCTGCTGCTGCTGCTGCTGCTATTGCTGCCGCTGCTATTGCTGCTGCTGCTGCTGCTGCTGCTGCTGCTGCTGCGGCTACTACTACCTACAATAATATACCTGCAATACTATAAGTGTGTGTAATGTGTGGTACTATAGTTACATGGTATATAGTATACTATATGGCATATAGTATGGTATGGTATCTACTGTGTACATGTATCTACTGTATATGTGTGTGTTGTGAGGGTAGTGTACGTGTATCTACTGTGTACATGTATCTACTGTATATGTGTGTGTTGTGTGGGTAGTGTACGTACAGTAGATACATGTACACTACCCTCACAACACACACATATACAGTAGATACATGTACACAGTAGATACATGTACACTACCCACACAACACACACATGTACATGTATCTACTGTATATGTGTGTGTTGTATGGGTAGTGTACATGTATCTACTGTATATGTGTGTGACACTACCCACACAAACATGTATCTACTGTATATGTGTGTGTTGTGTGGGTAGTGTACATGTATCTACTGTATATGTGTGTGTTGTGAGGGTAGTGTACATGTATCTACTGTATATGTGTGTGTTGTGTGGGTAGTGTACATGTATCTACTGTGTACATGTATCTACTGTATATGTGTGTGTTGTGTGGGTAGTGTACATGTATCTACTGTATAACAGTAGATACATGTACACTACCCTCACAACACACACATATACAGTAGATACATGTACACAGTAGATACATGTACACTACCCACACAACACACACAGTACATGTATCTACTGTATATGTGTGTGTTGTGTGGGTAGTGTACATGTAGTATCTACTGTATACATGTATCTACTGTATATGTGTGTGTTGTGTGGGTAGTGTACATGTATACACTTCGTACATTATCACTGTCGATCACGGAAAGAATATTTATAATACATGAATATTAATATTTCATGATTAATGGCCAAACTGCAAAAATTGCACGTAAGAATTTTTTTAACGTTAGAATTAATTTTAGCGCGAAGATTTTTTAGGCACTCGCGATTTTTCGCAAGCGGCTAAAATTGCGAAATTCGTCCCCTGACATCTATCTGACGCGCTCACCCGTGGCATGGCTTCCTGCTTCAGTCACCGTGATCTGAAGCCTGAGAATCTGCTGCTCGATGAGAAGAACAACATTAAGATTGCGGACTTCGGCATGGCTTCACTGCAGATGGAGGGATCGTTCCTCGAGACCAGCTGTGGCTCGCCGCACTACGCCTGCCCCGAGGTCATCCGCGTAAGTCACCGCGGCGCCACCTAGCCGCGACGTTCCCTCGTGCTAGCGCCACCTGGCGGCAATGTTACTTCATGGTTGCGCCACCTAGTGGTGATGTTCCCGCATGCTAGTGCCACCTACGTTCATTGTTCAGTTTTGCCGTGACGCATCGCACCGCGCCGTGCTGTGCCGCGTCGCACCGCGCCGTGCCGTGCCGCGTCATGGTGTGCCGCGTCGCACCGCGCCGTGCCGTGCCGCGTCATGGTGTGCCGCGTCGCACCGCGCCGTGCCGTGCCGCGTCATGGTGTGCCGCGTCGCACCGCGCCGTGCCGTGCCGCGTCATGGTGTGCCGCGTCGCACCGCGCCGTGCCGTGCCGCGTCATGGTGTGCCGCGTCNACGTGTATCTACTGTGTATGTGTGTGTTGTGAGGGTAGTGTACATGTATCTACTGTATATGTGTGTGTTGTGTGGGTAGTGTACATGTATCTACTGTATATGTGTGTGTTGTGAGGGTAGTGTACGTGTATCTACTGTATATGTGTGTGTTGTGTGGGTAGTGTACATGTATCTACTGTATATGTGTGTGTTGTGTGGGTAGTGTACATGTATCTACTGTATATGTGTGTGTTGTATGGGTAGTGTACATGTATCTACTGTATATGTGTGTGTTGTATGGGTAGTGTACGTGTATCTACTGTATATGTGTGTGTTGTATGGGTAGTGTACATGTATCTACTGTATAGGTGTGTGTTGTATGGGTAGTGTACATGTATCTACTGTATATGTGTGTGTTGTATGGGTAGTGTACATGTATCTACTGTATATGTGTGTGTTGTGTGGGTAGTGTACATGTATCTACTGTATATGTGTGTGTTGTGTGGGTAGTGTACATGTANATGTTTTGTACGTCTGCTTCAGGGAGACAAGTACGATGGACGCAAGGCAGACGTGTGGAGCTGTGGCGTGATCCTCTACGCACTGCTAGTGGTATGTGTCTATCTCCTCCTATACTGACACACGATCGTACCTCCGATCGACCTTTGATTGACATCCAATTGACCTCCAACCAACCTTCTATTGACCTCCGATCGACCTTTGATTGACCTCCAATCGACCTTTGATTGACCTCCAATTGACCTCCAATCGACCTTCTATTGACCTCCGATCGAACCTCCGATTGACCTCTGATAGATCTTCGATCAATATTCAATCAACGTATATTCTACCTGCGATATATCTTTAAAGTGGATAAATCTCGCAGCTAGATGCATATATATACCTACTGTGAGCTCGCCTATGTTGCAAAAATTCACTACAACTTATTTGTATTGCTACTTTCACAACATTTCTTCATAAAATCTAAACAAAAGTTACGAAAGTAGTACCACAGGATGTTTACACAGTGTTTACACATCCGGTACACAGGCGAGCGAACATTGTGCTGCATTAACATTTCTTTTCTGTAAACTGCTACACTACGATCAATGATGAGAAATCTTCAAAAAATTTCTGGATCCAGATCTGGATCCGGATCACCACCTAATCGATTGGTTGTTGGCCCAAGACCAACCCGTCCAAAAAATTTCATCAAAATCCGTCGGTAACTTTTTGAGATATCCTGTTGACAAACAAACCAACAAACCAACAAAGTAACTGGGCAAAAACATAACCTCCTTGGCGGAGGTAATCAGTAAACAAATATAGTGTTTTCGTTTCAGGAACTATTTGCGCTAGCGTAGGGATACTATTTAGCATCCTCTGACACTTCACTCAACATCATTTATTTGTATTTTCGCCAAAACCGCGTCCGACGGGGTAATTCAAAATAGTCATCTTCAGAGCACATTTCTGGCTCAATGAGAACATTTCGTGATGTTTGCATACTGCAAGTATGCTCACAGTAGGTCTATATAGGCTTTTTGCGAGCTTTATTCAATTAGACAATAATTATTAAACCTTTGATCGACTCTCGATTTTAGATTTTTGACTTATTTGATTTGCAATATAAGATAATGCAATTTTGAGCGCCCGAGAAATTCATGACAAACACTCCACCGTTAAAGTAACGCATTAACCGCCCGTGCTTCTCGCTCCCGCCACCAGGGTGCGCTGCCGTTCGACGACGACAACCTGCGGAACTTGCTGGAGAAGGTGAAGAAGGGCGTGTTCCACATTCCTCACTTTGTTCCGCCGGATTGTCAGAACCTGCTGCGCGGCATGATCGATGTCGACCCGGAGAAACGACTCACGGTGAGCGAACACACGCCAGGGGGCGCCACCGCCAGGGGGGCGCTGACTACAGCTAGCGAGCGTTCACCGGCTAGTACAAGGCACTTTTTTTTCCCCTCTCTATCTCTCTCTCAAACTCTCTTCTCTCTCTCTCTCTCTCTCTCACTCTCTCTCTCTCTCTCTCTCTCTCTCACTTGTACTCTCTCTCTCCCCCTCTCTCTCTGTCTCTAGTATATATATATATATACGCACACACGATGGGTCAGCTCAGATCAGTAGAGCTGTAGCGAGAGTTAATTATTCAGCAAGTCCACATATAACTATATATATACGTGTAATAACGTATACATATATAGTTATCGCGCAATCATAAATATTTTATTGGTTAAACCGCAGGCGGAATCAGCGTGGCCTGCGGAACCAGACACGAGTAATCGATAACTGGCGTGGCGCTCGCGGAGGCTGGTGGGGCATTCCCCTGCTAATGCTCATTCTGTTTCTCTATTTCTACAGATTGATCAAATCAACCGACATTCCTGGGTGATGGCGTAAGTAGAATCGCGCGAGCACAGCCTCTTGTTTTTCGTCGCCCCGGGCGAGTACAGCCTCTTGTTTTTCGTCGCCCCGGGCGAGTACAGCCTCTTGTTTTTCGTTGCCCCGGGCGAGTACAGCCTCTGGTTTTTCGTCGCCCCGGGCGAGTACAGCCTCTTGTTTTTCATCACTGTGCGTGAGCCCTCACAGCCTATTTTTTTCCCTCACTGCGAGTGAGCGCAGCCTATTATTTTCCCTCACTGCGAGCGAGCATAGTCTCTTGTTTTCACTCACTGCAAGCGAGCATAGCCTATTGTTTTTCATCACTGCGAGCGAGCGTAGCCTATTTTTTTCCCTCACTGCGAGTGAGCGCAGCCTATTGTTTCTCGTCGCCCCCGCATGAGAGATCGGCGCGGGCGAGCGAGCATAGCCTTTTGTTTCTCGGCGCAGAGATCGGCACGGGCGAGCGAACGCTCATGATTTATCGTTGACTTTGACGTGGAGTCAAGCGTCTGTAGTCATCTTAATGTTGGCTCAATGTCACGTGATTATAGAAATACTGAGTGATTGTCAGAGCTGCAGCAACGCTCGAGGGAGAAGGGGAGGTGGGGTGGGGAAGCAAGATGGGAGAGCAGTGGGTGGGGATGCTTAGGGGGAGTGGGGGCCTGAAGAGCGAAGGAGAAGTGAGGTTGGAGAGGGGGAAGTGAGGTTGGAGAGGGGGAGTCGCAGAGGGAACTGGGAGAGAGTGTGTGTGAGAGAGAGAGAAAGAGAGAAAGAGAGAGGGGGAGAGAGAGCGAGAGAGAGAGAGAGAGAGAGAGAGAGAGAGAGAGAGAG